ACTACAACAATAGTAATTTTGGTAAATAATTAACTATATAATCATTATTGTACCAATAAATAACCTGAACTATAAAACACTTTGCTGCGCAAATTTATAAAGTTGTATACATATTAGAAACATAGTACTGTAATATAACTAACTCTCAAAGCATATATAATGTTAGCATTTAGATGTGTCCCTAAGCCAAAACATGGCTTATCTTTTTCTATTTTTATCTTATTTTATTTCATATATTATATATTTAATATAAGATAGGCTTGTAAAGCAAGGTAGCTTAATGACAGATTAGAGATTTACTCAGCAAATTACAATATATACGTTGTAGGCTATATGATGCTAAGGTTGAGAAAAGATAGAGTATATAGTCAATATCATATTAAACATATATATGCTAATAGTAAAACATATACGCGATAATCATAAAATATATACATTTTTGTAAAACATTGAGAATAAGTAATGATAAAATTAATCTTTATAATAGTAGAGATATATAAATATGAATTCTCTTAGCCTTTCCAAATATTAGTAATCGAGTAGTAATAGACTTAGAATATAATATAACCCTTATCTTGTATTCTTTTTCCTTAAAGAAATTAATAAAGAATCTTTTTTACTTATTAAGAAATGATATTTATTGAAAGTATTGTATAAGAGTACGCTGTATTTTTTAATTAACATAAAAGAAGTAAACATTGAAGTCGAATAGACCTTTCTCTAGGTAATTAAGAACTGTATTCTGTTTAGATTAGTAATGAGACTGTGTCTAAAATATAACAAAATATAAAGATTAGTATCAATTAACTGTATTTGAAAGTGACTACTGAATAAACTACTATTTAATTACTGTATTAATCATCCCATTAATTATTATTTTAATATCTCTTTCTAAACTATCTCCAATATAGCTATTATCATTATTATAAGTCACTCTCCCAATTTTCCTTATAATTTTAGCGATTCTTATCTATTTAACTATTGGAGCTAAACTGTACAACATTATTCACTCTCCCAGTTTACAATACTAATAATAGCTAAAAACTCACTATATATAACATATGTTAGTCTAGTTTATTAGTACAAACATGTATAATTAGAAGACTTTCCTTAGTATTAATATTTCTATATTTAGTTAGTATGATATTACAGATATTCAATATATTGAATATATACAATATATTTTTTTTTTTTTCGATTTTAACCTAGGGAATCCTAGGACGCCGGCGGCGTATATACAATATATTCGATATATTGAATATATAGAACATTTGTAAAAATATATAAGTGATAGCTTTTTCCTCTTCAATAAATTATTTTAAGTTTTAGACAATTCAAAAAACCTTACATTACTCTCAAATACCACATTCGCTAATACCCAATTTCCCTCTGATAATAAAGAAACTGCTAATATAAAAGTATCAAATCTAATAATATCTTTAAAACTCAGACCAAAACTTTTATACTGTCTTTTAGCCTTCTAACTTAGAGTTGATTATTAGATTTTTAGTTGACTGATTAGCTCAAGCTCTGATGTAGCATAGCTTCTAAACAAGTATTAGTCTAATACTAAATTAGACCTTTTCAATTAGTAGTGATTATAAGATTGAACTAACTTTACTTATGAACTAACCTGAAATCTGAATAATCATTAATGCTAAACCTAGGGATAGAAGAAAGTTCAGTTATAATTTTGTTCTATGTTTTAATATTATTAAAGTATATAGGTTTATTATATCTATCTAATATACTATTAATTATTTTAGTAGGTTTGGTTTGAAGAAATTTATATTATTTGTTTATAGCTTGGTTGATATATTCTCTTATTTGATAATTGTTTTCTAAGTTTTAAGTATTGTAGAGAGACTTCTAACAATTTTTAATAAAAATAATCCAGTTTGTGATTAAATTAATATCAGATAGTAGTAGAGAAATATTAAAGAAGTATTGTAAATTAATGTTATTAATTATAGTGAAGAGATTAGGATATGAAATATTATAATTGTTTAGATATTTTTTTGCCTTTTGAATAGCTTCTTCAAGAGTTTTAAGGTTTAGATGTAACTCTGTTGTTCTAGGAGAGAAGGCATAGTAAAAGTTTTTTGTTGTAAACTTTTTGTTAAAAATTTTAAGTGTTCTAAGTATTGTTTTTATTGCTAATTTTGAATTATCTTGGTTTTTTTTTTAGCTCTGAATTTGGTTCAAATGATTTGTGAAAAAAGTGCTTAAATTTGCAAGTTATTTAAACAAAACAATATAATATAATATAACACAAATTACTATCTTTTAAATTGTAACCTAACACAGATAAATTTGTCTATATTTTTATATTTATTCAACTCTGATTTACTTTTTTAAAATAGAAAAATATTAAAAACACAAAATAACATAATTGGTTAATCAACAAAACTACTAGCTTATGAGTAGATACTAAAAATATAATAATATAAAATTAACCATATCGTTATAATAATACATAAATTCTATAAATAAAAACTTTATAAATATACAATTGTAACAAATTCTAAGTACAATACAATAACTACCAAATTCTAAAATAAACCAAGAGCTATATTACATTTCTTTCTCACCAAAAAAAAATATCCGATTTATAGAATTCTGTTGTTTTTTTTTTAAAGAATAGGTATAAAAAAAAAAAAAATCTAATATCTAAAAAAATTTATAAACTTTAAATGAATTTTTTATAAATAAATTTTTTTATATTTTATATAATAATATCAAGTACTTCATAATATAGGTTTGATGAAAACTGAAGCATTTCTGATAATGTCATTTTATCAATATTATCAAAATAGATTGATGTTAAAAGTAAACATGAAGGATCGATATTAAGATAAGTAGAGACTTGATTAATAACCTAAATTTATTTGATATAAAATTAAATTAGATAATATATTAGAAAATATTTAATAAGGAAAAGAAATGATTTAAATAATCAACATACAACTTCATAGGTCATAGATTTATTTAAAATCAAACTAAATTCAGGAATAAAACTTTTATAACCGAATTTTGACCTGAATTGAACGACAACATTTTTTGATAATGCATCATAAAATTGTGGAATACTATGTAGTCGACCCGCAGAAACATGTTCTTGGATCCTATACAAATAAAAAAAAAAAAATTCTTTAACTTAAACTATAAATTAAAATAAAACTTTTAAAAATATTAATAGCATACTCTTTATCTGTCAATTCCTTTTGAAAACAGATTATATCGCCATTTATTATCTCTGATATTTTAAAAGTATTTTCTGGATACATTTTATCAATTCTATCTGGTTTTATCTCCTAGAAATTTTTAATAAAAACTTGTAAGAACATACAATATAAAATTTTATATTATAAAACATAGTAAAATTAACTTACCTCATATACATTTATAGGAGTATTTGGAGGGAATTGTTTTTTCTTGCATAAAATAGGAAAAATCTCACCAACATTACTTTCTTCTTGAACATATAACTGGCCAAGACTTCTGCTCAAAGAAAAAATTTAAATTTAAAAAAAGTTAAATAATTATTTAATAATCAATAATTTAATTTAAAAGTTACATACTCTAATGATTGTATATCTGGATCAAAATATTTAAGAAAAATAATAATTGGCGATGTCTCACTATCATGTGAAGACATGTTCTATATTAGGTAATAAACTTGGGCAGTTATATACGAGTTGATCAATATGTAGCAGAAGTTGAATAATAAATTATGAAAGCTAACATTTATTGGTTTCTCAAATATCTCCATATATAATTTCAGCTCATTATAACCCATTGTTGTTTTAATGGTTTCCATTGCTAGTAGTAATGGAAAAGATTTAATATATATTTAATGAAAATATAAAAGTAAATATTGTATAAATATAAGAGGCTCACTTTCTGTAAGATAATCGTCAGTTATGAGTTCATATGGTCTAATAGTTTTATTTTGTCGAGTTGCAGAGAACCAGAATCTTATTTTATCAACGGGAAGTTTAAACTTTTTAGCAACTTTCTTTTTAAAAGTAATAAAGGTGTCATCCCTTAAAATTTTAAATTGAGGAATTTCAGATAATGGATGTTGCTGATTATTAAAATTAGTAAGGTCAAATCCATTATGTTTCTTAAATGTCTCTTCAGTAACGATCTAAAAAAATAAATATGAAATTAATTATATAAACTTATCATTTTATATATAAAAAAAAAAAAAATAAGATTACCCATGTTTTTAAATATAGGCAACTTTCACCTAATTCTTTTCTTGCTTGTTCAAATTCTTCAAGTAAGTAACGGCTTTCTATAAAACGAAAAAAAAATCAATATTTTGTGACCATAAATAAATTTATTATATTATTTATTATACACTTGCGTAAACGTTTCACATCCTTAGGTAGTATTGGATATAAAATCTCATCAATATCAGATTCACGAATATACACTAGCATATATGCATCTTTAAATTTGTTATCTTCTGCACCGTAACTAATATCGAGCATTTCTTTAACCGATACTGATGTTACTTTATCATCATCAAATTTTACCCTATTATTTTTAAAATAAAAATTGGCATACTGTGGAAATAAATGAAATGATGAATACTGTAAGTTTAGCTAACCATCCATGATTCTTTTCTGGCTTCAGAAATGCGAAATGATGATCTTCTCCATCAATTGCATTATCGCGAATAAGTACACTAGTTAAATTCATTAAAGGAAATTTAATAACTTGGCTAATGTTAATGAATATCATATATTGTATGATTTACACAAACCCATGTAGTAAATATTTATGTGATTTCGATTTATCTGCATCCGGTGATAAATATTTTTGCAAATCAATTTCCAATGGAAATTCAAAACGATTATTTAACTATAGAAAAACTAGTATTAGCGAAAAAGACATTAAAGAAAAAAATTTATTTGCTTTAAATATTGCATGCCTTAACCATAAGGTTACTTTTCACATCATAATCAAACCGATCTAAATATATGTGTAATACAGGCGGAAAACTTTCAAATATTACACTTTTTTTAGCAACCTGTAAAATATATATATATATATAAATGTTAAATTATAACAAGATCTTGGTAATTAAGTAGATAATTAAAAAAAAAGAAACTTACTTGCAAACCATAACCTTCAGCATTATATTTATTATCTTTATCTAAAATATCTTCATGAGTATATTTCATTAAAGATTCATCTAGAGTTTTGCATCCTTTGACGCTAAGTTGAATATCTATTGGAAATAAATTTTAATATTTTATCGTGCAAGTATTAATGATCGTGAATTTTATTTTATTTTATTTTATAATCCAGTATTTATTTTTGTATAGCATACAATCATTATTTCATTGGCTAACCGATTTATAGAGTCAATTACAGCACTTATATATATATATATATATATATTTAGCTTAATAAACATTATTTTCCCTACAGAGAAAATTTCATGATATTAATCGTTAAATTATAATTTATAAATTTTTTGCTTACCATAATAATTTTCAATGTGTAAAGACTCATAATTTACGTTTACACATTTAATATAACTTTTCATCGTTCCCATAAATAGTTTAGAAATTGGGTCATCTACTTTTGTATTCTGAATTTTTAGATTAGAAAACCATTAGATAAAAGTAAGAAAAAAAAAAATTGTAGCACTTATAACATTAAAACAATCCACCTTTATTTTATCTCTAATATCGTCTTGTATTGCTCTAATAAACTCTCGGACATCAGTCATAAAAAATAAATTCCAACCAAAAAATTTAGTTAATTCCGTTATATCAACCGGTGAATCTAAAGAATTTAATTGATAAAAAATTCGTTGTAAAGCCGAGGAAATGCTTCCGGATGATTTATCTTTTTCTATAGGTATTTGATATACAGCCTATAAATAAGGTAAAAAAAAAAAAAAAACTATATTATTAGATTTAGAATGAAAAAAGTCTGGAAAAAAGAAAAAGAAAAGAAAACAAACCTTACGAAGATATTTTATAAAATATAGAGATTGTATTGCCGAGTTTAAGAAAGTATTTATCCCATCATTGTTTAAACCAATATACCCAGTAGAAAATGATCTAACATCAGACCATAATGTACCAGTTGAATCCTCCAGAACACGAACAAGAGTTGTAATATTACAAGAGTTATTTTCAATTAATGGGCGAGTTCGACCAGAGGATGGAATAAAAAGTTTACGTTGATCATAAAATGATCCAAAACCCCAATCAGAATTCTCAGCAGTAAACCGATGAAAAGCACCTATAAAATTGGAAAAAATAAAGAATCAATAAAGTCCTAATAGAACAAAAGTAAAATTGAATTGTATAACATACAATGACTAACGTATTGTGTCGGATCTTCAGGATTTGATAAGATTAAAACGAACTGTACGCAACAGTGCCACCCATCATGTGCACCTTGTAAATCAGCGAAATCCAAATAAATAGAGACTTTACTAATATTTTTATTTCCGAAAGGAAAAAGCAGAATACGCCTAATTTTATAAAATTTTTAATAACAGATTAATCACTTGTTTATATATGTACAAATATGTACACATACGTAATATATACATACCACTCCTTCTGACCTATTTTTAATGCCAGTTAACAAACATTTTTTATCCAAATTATTTTAATTAAATATCAAGTTTAAAAAAAAAATAAGGATGAAGGAGTGGTGATTTTTTACGATATTATATATTTTATATTAATTATGAAAACCCACCATTTCCAACCTCCAACTTCAAATTCGGGACCAGTTAACATTCTTTCTAAATTATTCCAATTAGTAACATGCCATGTATTATGTTGAAAATCTTTAATTGGAAGACCAAGATCTGGCATTTCATTTGTAATAACTTCATCTGCTGGATTGGAATCAAACATGAATACGTATTACGTATTATTATTATTATTATTATTATTATATTTGTACGTAACGTAATAAATAATTTAATTTTTTTGCTTATAGTTTAAAACAAAACTATGAACATTCCAAGACATTTAAAATATAAATAAAACGTACAATTCATGAATCCTTTATTGTTTTATAGACGAAAATGTCAAAGCTTTTTTTTTTTTTTATAAAGGTTAAAAATCTTTATCGTTGAAGCATCGTTATCCGGAGTTTTTAAATTTATGTACGACGCACATATAGTAGGACAGCATACTTGTGTAATGAATAGCAAAAGTTAAGTTGGTCCAATTTGAAAAAAAAAAACAATAAATTTTTTTACTTTAAAA